CCTTGGCTGACAAGTGGGCCAAGGCTGGAGCTAAGCTTTGGAATGTGTCTCGAGACCATCTTGACTTCGCCTCGGGGTGTGAAAGAATTGCCTCGGACATAGTGCTCTGGCAGAGCAGGTGTCAGGAGTTTTTCTGAGAGTTAGAGCAGCCAGATTCTGCCGGTCTTTCTGGTACAGGGGACATCGTGCTAGATGAAGAGTTGCCCCAGTATCAAATTCGTGCCTGTCTGGAGGAAGGCAGGGCGCCGTTTGGAGACTGGTCCCTGGCCGAGGGGAATGAGACTGGTCCCTCCTCTACTCCGAGTCCTTCCTCCTCACCTGCTGGTACGGAAGAACCCCATGATGTCGACGCTGGCTTTGTTGCTGCCACAGGTGTACCTTGGGTTTTGCGAGGGCACAGCGTTGTGCAGGCCAGCGTTGCATCAGATCAAGGCCAGGAACTGTCGCCTATATTATTCTGCAAGGTCTGCGGTGCCTCAGCGCATTCTAACGCTCGGGGACTGCAGGGTGAATGTAAGGGAGCGGGTCATCCTGGGCTCAAGACCCAGAGGTCCAGGCTCCGCCGAGGTCTGTTCCCAGGGCGCACCCTTGGGAATGCTCGAGTAGGGGCGGCCCATGGGCCGACCCTTCAGATGCGCGCTGTTCGGGGGCCGCTCCTTGAGCCTGCCCCTGCTCCTGCTGCTGCTGCTACTAGCAGCGATTCTGTAGGTGAAGAAGGGTGGGTCGAGCCCCAGGGGTCGGCGGGGAGTGGGAGACCCCGCGTGGCAGGGGAGGCGAAGCAGGCCAACAGACTGCTATGCCTTCCCTGTCTTGACGCCACCAGTGTTGCCAAGTTGCATGGCTTCCCCTCGCCTGAGGAGCTTGTGCGGTGGCAGAGGTCCCGTCAGAGAGCTCCTGAGGAGTCTGAATTAATCTGAGGATTAATTCGTGGCGGAGCGGCCAGGGGCGCCACGTGGCGCCCGCGTAGTCAGTACCCTCAGTACCCTCATCCTCCTCCTCCTCATCTCCCTCCTCCTGATCCACGTCCTCCTCCTTCTCCTCCTCCTAGCCCTCTTGCCTCGGTAGTTCGAGGTTGGCCGAGCGCACTTCGAAGGAGCGCAGCTCGGCCGAGCCATGGCGCGTCGCAATGTTCCAGGCTGGGTGCTTCTGGTGGGCTTCGACTTTCTTGGTCGAGATGATTCTCGGGGAGGGCGCCCGGCAGCTGATACCGTTCGTGCTTCTCTTGCGTTTGGGTGGATGTGGTGGCTGCGAATCACACTTTCTTCTTCGAAGGGCTTCGAGTGGCACCAGTCACCGATGTGTGGTTCGGCGTGTTCTTGGTGCTCTACAGATGTTTCGGGGTGAATTCGTCAGAGGTCTTCTTCGCGGGGAGTGTCGAATCGGCGGAATTGGAATTCGCCGTTCGGTTCGGCTGCCTATGGGTGGCAGCGGGATGCTGCTGGAGATCTTTGTCTACCATTTCGTCTGCATGTTCTGCGTTTCCCAGGGGTTGGCCGGATCGTCCGACGCTGAAGCATAGTTTCTCCATGTGTCGATGGCACGTTCAGCCTGGCGTCGGGACGGCGATGGCCGAGCTCGGCATCGAGCCGTCCGCCGACGGCAGGACCGAGGAGTTGGAGCTCGAGGCGTGACTGGGGCAGCGTCGGGGGGGCGGCAGCCCCCATGGGCCCATGGGCCCCCGCCAGGGGCGGAGCCCGACCTCCGACCTCGCCTGGCTGAGATGGCAGCTGGCGCTGCAACTTCGGATGGCGCAGTCGGGGGCCGCACCTGGTGCCCGCACCTCTTCGGAGGGTTCGGCGGCGCGCTCTGGGGGCCCCCCCTCCCTTCGTTGGGCGCGATGGCCTGACGGCTAAGCCCCCTATCGCCCCCTTCTTGTCCCTCCTCCTCCTCGTCCCCCTCCTCCTCCTCCTCCTCCTCCTCCTCCTCGTCCTCCTCCTCCTCCTCCTCTGCCTCGTCCTCCTCCTCCTCCTCCTCCTCCTCCTCCTTCTCCTCCCCTCCCCCTTCTCTTCTTCTTCCTCCTCCTCCACCTTCGTCGTCGTCGTCCTCCTCCTCCGTCGCGCTCCTCCCTAACTATCGTTTTCCTCCTCCTCCTCCTCCTCCTCCTCCTCCTCCTCCTCCTCCTCCTCCTCCTCCTGTCTCCTCCTCCTCCCTCTCTCCTCCTCCTCCTCCTCTCCTCCTCCTCTTCCTCCTCCTGCTCGTCCTCCGCCCCCCCCCGTCCGTCTCTGCCCCTTCCTTCCTGCTCTTGGGCGATCGCAACGGGCGATCGCAACGGGCGCGGAAAGAATTGGTGCGATGCCCAACGGCAGTTCTTCGTCATTTTGCATAGGATTCGCTATCTGCGCCGCCGTGGCGTCTGAATTTCTGCCCCCCCCCATCCCCGCCATTTCCCGTCCTTCCCCCCCCTCTCCCCCGATAGTCACTTGTTCTTGAAGGGGGGGAGTAACATGCACAACGATGCGCCGACCCCCAGGAATTCTTACAACATAGAGGGGATCCTGGGCCTATTTGTGCTTATTGTTTGGCGTGTCCATGGGCCCCTGCAGCCCCTTCCTTCTCTTGGTGCCAGCGGGCGTCCAAGAAATCCGCGCGGACCCCCGACATCGAATGCTCAGGTTCGCCCTTGTCTGCACGCCCTTCCCGATCCCGCAGCTCGTCCGCCGAATGGGCCCCGCGCGCTGTCTCACAACGATTCACCCTCGCTGGGAGGCCACCCGCGACGGAGTCCAAGTTCCCGGACTGCCGACGTTGAGCCTTCAGAGCCTTCTCGAGGGGCAACCATTCCAATTCGGCGACGCTTTGTCGAGCCATTCCGGGGCACCCGAGCCGAATACTTGCCAGAACCTTCCCCCGCTGATGGCGCAGCCCGCAGAAGGCGACGCCCACGGCGCAGCCCATTCACGGCGCGCCACCCGGGTGGCGCACACCCTGAAAGCGGCGGCGAGCGAGGGAGCGAAGTGAGAAGGGGCGTGCCTTCTCAGAAGGCTCGGAAGTCCCCCGGTTCTTCGAAGCGTTTTGAGGTTTCCCCGACGCCACGATCAACTTCTCGCGAGGCGCGAGGACTTCTGAAAACTCCCGCCGCCTTGCCTTCTGCCAAGGCCTTCTCCTTCTCACTCCCCCCCTCGCTCGCCGCCGATTGGTTGCAGTCTCCACAGGGTTGCGTCTGACTTTGGTCGCCGTCTGGGCTGGCGGTCGTGGCCATGCGTCGAGTTGTCATTGCGACCCGTTTCGCCACGCGAGGGGGACCCTGGTACTCTCGCCGACGATGGCAAGTATGCACAAACATTTTTGTTCGAGGTCCGTGCGGAACGCTTGGATCGGCGTTGGACCCCCCCCAGAGGCGACCGCCAAGGGTCCAACGGCGACCCCAAATGTTTGCGCGGAGCTCCGAAGATGTGATGCCTATGTCAACGTTTGTCTCTGATGGGAGGAAGACGGTGATACGCGAAGGGCAGTGCAGGGCTTGGTGGAACAGGCGACGGGAGGAGATCAGAGGATCAGGAGCTCCGAGAGTTTGTATTTTTGCCGCCAGACCTGCCCATCAGGAAGTTTCAGGGTTGTGTGGTGCTTATTTTGCTGAGCCCGCGACCCCTCGCGTCCCCGGGCAGCCGTGCCCCGACTTCTCTCCAGCGGGCCTGGCTCGCGGTCGTAGTTCTAAATCGGGCGTGTGGCGGCCGTTCGGAACAGGTCCAGGCTTCAGTCGGGCGCCACCTTCTACAGGAGGAATACTCGACGATAGCAACAAAAATCTTCTGGGGACGATGTGTCCATTATTCTTGTTGTTATTTTTGTACAAAGATACGTACACACACACACACCTATGTTTCATTTGTTTGTCCAAAATCCGCCTGTAGGGGACATGCCCCACCTAAGTCTAGGCACCCCAGAACGTTCCCCGGCGAGGTGCAATTGCCGGAACGCACCCACCGAGGGAACCGACGGAGGCGCCCGAGAACCTCGGTCGTCTCGGGAGGGGAAACTACCGACGACATGCCGCCGTGGCGAGCCGTCAGCGTATTATCGCTAAGGCCTTACGGCCAGCGCCGCCGAGGCCTGGTGTTCCTTCCATGTCAGCACGTTGTTGGGCCACCATGGCTGCGTGTCATTGCCCACGCGACAGGTTGGGGCCGTCGTCAGGTTTGGAAACAGGGCTCCCGACACGCCTCTCACAATTTGGCACGCCCTGCACTACTAGGGGAACAAAAATGACATAAACATAAAAACTCGGAGGTCCGCGCGCGGATGTCTCGGATCGGCGCTGGACCCCCCCCTCCTTGGCGCGCGGGGCGCGCCAGGGGCGGCGCCGGAGGCGCCGCCGGGGGGGCCCCAGCGCCGATCCGAGAAATCCGCGCGGAGCTCCGAGTTCTTCTGTTTATGACACTTTGTGTTCCCCCAATTTTGCGGTCGCCAGGGGCTAGAGTGTGCCGGTGCCCCGTGCCGTCGACGAGTGACGGCTGCTTGTCGCGGCCGCCAGCCAGACCCCAAGGGTGCGGGTGTTGCTTGGGGAACCCGCCTCGCGATCCCGCGCGAGGACCCCCCATAGCAGGATAATGGATTTATGTGTATATATATATACATACATACATATCTATATATTTACATATATATACACATATACATATATATATATATATATATATATATATATATATAATTGAGGTATTGGCGTTGCTCCCCCAGCCATCGGGTGTTGCCAGAAGTGCCCCTGGCCCAAGTGCCCCCAGTTCTTCCCAAGGAGGCCCCCATGTGGCCTTCCGAGCACCCCTCGCGGGGCCCAGGGGGCCCCTGGAGTCAAGTCGGGCATATCTCTCCACAGGAGGAGTCTGCAAACTTAAGTCAAGCATCGTACTTTTTGATTTCTGCTTCTCCTGGAAAATCCCCCCCTGTAGGAGGACATGCCCGACCTAACCCAGGGGCCGCAGACTGGGGCGACAAGCCGGGGGGCACCTTCAGCCAGGGCACCCCTCGGCCACCCCCCCGAGGCCTCGAGCCGCCCCGCGCAGGCCGCCTCGTCATCCTGTCGGACAACTGGCGCTACTGCCGCACGCTGGCCGCAGACCTGGCGGGCCTCCGCGGCGAGCGGAGCGCGGCGCGGCTGTTCCGGTCCGCCTTCTGCTTGCGCGGGGCGGCAGCGGGGAGGGGCTGGGCCTGTTTTCCGCCGCCACCACCAGCAGTAGGAGGGGGATGGGGGTCCTCCTCCTCCTCCTCCTCCTCCTCCTCCTCCTCCTCCTCCTCCTCCTCCCTTCCTTCTCCACATCCCTCCTTTCCCCTTCCAGCTTGTGGCGGTGGTGGTGGGCAAGAGGTCCATCAGGGGAGGGAGGTCCCCGAAGCGGTCGGGGAGGTGCCAGTGCCCGAGCTCGTTCCTGGGGCCTTACGAGAGAGAGAGAGAGAGAGGGCCTCCTCCTTGACCTCTCGCGCGCCCCCGGCGCGATCCTCTCAAGGAAGCTTGTGCACGGAGCGTGCGAATCGACTTTCCCACCGCGCAAATGTCTCCTCGGCTCCGTGTGTGCACGATGCCCAGGAGCACGGGCTCGATGCGCAGGTCATCGAGCTGCAGAGAGCGAGCGGAACGGCGGCAGCCTAGCACGATGCCGAGGCGCTCAGACGCCGCGGGAGGTCGAGCGCGGTCCCGACGTTCGGGACGTGGGCGCGGGCCGGCTCACCGAGGACGGGGTAGCAGCAGCATGTCGGTGGCGATGTGCTCCTCCACAGCGCCTGTGTGCACCGCAGCGCCTGAGTGCACCAGGGCGCCTGTGTGCACCGCAGCGCCTGCGTGCACCGCAGCAGCCGCGTGCGACACAGCGCCTGTGTGCACCGCAGCGCCTGCGCACACCACAACGCCTGTGTACGCCACAGAGCCTGCGTACACCACATCAGCCGTATGCAAAACAGCAGCAGGGTACACCACGGCGCTTGCGTGCACCACAGCGCCTGTGTACACCACGGCGCCTGTGTGCACAGCAGTAACCGTGTGCAACATCACACAATAGTCTAATCCATATATATATATATATATGTGTATATGTGTTTACAGATCGAGTTTTAGAAGGAACCCTCATGACAAAATGAAGAACCTGTGGATTCCATAGGAAACAATTTGGTATACAGGATTTGGAAAGAAACCATTAATGCCTCTGGAATCTGCGAGTCCTACCGGTTCCTCTCGCATCATCCTATTTCAGGCCACTTGCGTCTAGAACGCTCCCGCAGACTTCGCCGTCCGAGAACCAAGTGGACTGATTCAATTGACCATTTTTCCTGGATGCGCAAAGAAATGGGCACTTGTATTGTAGCGCCGACACGCACGACGGGGGGAAGGGTGAGGGAGGAGGTGGAGGAGGTGGAGAAGGAGGAGGAGGGATGAACGTCGAATTCGATTTATCAGCGCTCCCTTTGCGTGGTGTTGAGCTGTCCGCCGCAGAGAACTCCCCTTGCGTGGTGTTTAGCTGTCCGCAGCAACTCCTCACCGACATGCTTCTCCTACATGTCCTGTGCAAGCATTCGCTGTGGTGTACAAACGCTGTGTTGCACGCGGATGCTGTGATGTACACTTCCTCCGTGGTGTGCACAGGCGCTGCGGTGCACGCAAACATTCGCTGTGGTGTACAGGCGCTGTGGTGCACGCAAGCACTGTTCTGTACACGGCTGTTGCGTTGTACGCGGCTGTTGCGGTGCACGCAGGCGTTCTGGTGTACACGCGCGCTGTGGTGCACGCGAGCATTGTGGTGTGCACAGGCGCTGTAATACAGATCGCCAGCTACGTGCTGCTCCTACTCGGCCCTGGTCATCCCTTGGCGCCGGCGCGGAACGTGACGTCATGGGGGGGGGGGGGGCACGGGGCCGTTGACGGCCGTTGTCGCGGAAAATACGAACATGCTCCTGTGCCTGGGGCTCCCACGTCCTCCGACCCGAGGCTTGAGAAGGGGAGCTCGTGCACGTCAGTGCCAAAGGACCTCGCTGGATGCGTGGCTGCTCCAAGCTGGGGGGGTAAGCTGTCAGTTGCAGGGATTCGTTGCCAACGCGATGGCAATTCCACCAGCTCGGATATGTTGCATGCCCAATATACGATCGATTGCGTACCCGATTGAGTCTTGGTTTGCTAGTTTCTCCGCGTGGGCAGCCAGGTCTTTGCAAGGAGGTGACCAGCTTGGTGAGTTCGAGGACGTGCCGTTTCTCTTTGCATGGGTAGTTTTGCAGGGCCAACGATGGCTTGGCATATTGGCAAACTCGTCACGTGTTGCAGTTCCTCTGCGCGTTTCCCGCGCACCAGTCCCACTTGTTAACCCCGTTGCATGTCCAGTGTGCAGGTCCACGTCGGGAGGATCATGTAGAGTACGTGCATGGAGCGAGAACGGGCTGGGCAGACTGGCAGGGATACAAACCAGTGAGGAGAAAGTTGAATGAGAGGCACGTGTGGAGATGCATGATTCGGCCTTCTAGCAATCATCGCTCTCATCCTCGCACTGCTTATGTTTTTTCCTCTGTACTCCGTTCCCTTTCGTATGATTGTCCTCTACACCCTCCTTGCGCTCCCAGTCTATCTCCTCCACTGCCTCTTCTTCGCGTCCTTGCAGTCATTTGACAGTTCGGTTCATGGATTGACGTTGTTCTATGGCGCCGAGTGGCGTGAATATATCGTGTCGCGAGATTGTGCAGCACATGCTCTCTACATCTTGGTGGATGCCAACGGTGATTCTTGACCAAGGTGTCCCCAGCCTGGGGACTTATGGGTCTCGTGAGGGCTGCTTTGGAAGCAATCTGGTCCTCCTGGGGAATGCTCGAGACACCTTGGGCCCTGGACCCTTTTAGCAGCACCCGGACATTTGGCGAAGATGGACGACGCTCGGTTTTGGCTTATTGTATCGGGACCAGGAGGCAGCGAACGTTGTGACCATCAAGTGCGGTCCCTTCCAGGATGGTGAGCTGCTGATTGCCACTGGCGAGTACAAAGAAACAGCTGCGCCGAATGATAAGGAATGGCGAATGGGATGCGTTCTTTTCAAAATTTCAGGCTGTGCACCAGAAGTCGTGGCCCAATCTCCACAGCTACGGTCACTGCCCCGAAGCCGTCAGGCACATTGAAGCCGAAGGCGCTCTGGCAATCACGCAGAAGTGCGATAGGACATGCATCACCCTCACATGCTCCCCCAGGGGGAGCTGCTGGTATTCATGCTCGGGGCCTTGCCCGAGAGCTGCTCAGCGAGAGGGCTGTGGCCGCAATGCAGTATGGAGGGTCCGACGTTGGCCATGGAGCTTCTTCATCATCAGGATGGTAAAGTCGTCTTCCTCAATATCTTCTTCCTCCTACCTCTCTCCCTTCGCCTCCTCACTCCTCCTCCTCCAGGGTCGAGCAGAACTGCTGCCCGCATCGCCCTGTGCCGCTGGACGCTTCCGAGTCGGATGGCCGAGTGCTACCTCCGACGGAGTTGAGCTCCATCGCCGACTTGGTCTTCCGGCGAGGACTACCTTGCGAAAAGATACTCCAGATTTCGTAATAAAGGGGGGGGGGTCTCATTTCGGGGGGTGGTCTCTTCCAGGCTATCTTGGAGGGCCTGGGGGGGTCTGGGGACGATGTTTTGGAGGGTTCTCCCACGGGGGGGGGTCTGAAATGGCTTGTCTTGGAGGGTCCAGACCCCCTCCCTTTTATTACAAAATCTGGAGTACTCGCACGACATGGACAAAGAGGCACGGGGATGGGACGTCCGAGCGGGGGCGAGCCGAGCCCTCTCGGTGTGGACGCCATCCGCATGCCAGGCGTCTGCTGGCCTGGAGCGCCATCGCAGGCCCGGGGTCGTGGAGCCGCGCCGCTCCGTTGGGCAGCACGCGCGAGGGCTTCGCAGTGGAGCTCGCTCGGCACCGCCAGGAGCTGTGCGCTCTTTTTCTCGGCCAGGGCCGTCGAGGCGCACCCCCGGGTCACCCAGCAGCGAAAAGAAGCGCGAGCGGCACCGAAGCGTGCCCAGGACAGGGGCGTCCGAGCGACGGCAAGACGTGGGCGAGGGTTTCGCAGTATAGTTCTGGGGCAGAGGGTGCAGGGCGGAGCCTCAGAAGTCTCTGAACGCGTCGCTGGACAGCGCTCCCCTTCTCCACCGAACTCGGCTCGGATGACCACGTGTTGAATGAGCAAGAATCGCATGGCTAATGTGCGCGGAGAGGTCGAAAATATGCTTTCAGCCCCCTGGACTACGGCGTTGTGGCTGCGAGCTTACTCGAGGATTACCTCGCGCGCGCGAATTATACAACTCAGAGGCTCCACCGCTTGCACCCAAGCTGCACTGATGCGAAAGGCCTCAGCCAGAGCGGTCTTACCAATGAGCACAAATTGCTGCTCGTCCCCTACATGAAGCTGCCGCATTCGGAGCATGACGCGTGGCTCGACGAGGATGTGTGCCGAGTTTTTGTGGCGCAGTACATGGCAGAAAGGCGTCTTCAGACTCGACGCCCGAGACCGATGTTACATGTCCTGGCTTCGCCGGTGTGTCGGGGAGGTTTGTGCTGGCTGGAGCGCCGGGCAAGAAGGCAGTGGAAGCATGGGCTAAAGGCTGCAGGTGCGTCGTGACTCTGCTGCGGAGCAGTGCGCTCCAGGAACTGCGGCCAGGACCTCCACGCCACGTTCGGCCCGCTTGCGGTCGAGTGGCTGCATCTTCCCATCTTCGGCGCAAGCCTCGAGAATATCGAGGACAAGCCCACCGCTCCGACCGCGGCGCGGGCGGCAGTTGAGCGACTGCAGGATGGGGAGGGTCGTGGCCGTGCACTGCTCCGCAGAGTCGCTCCGCACGGGGCTCGTTGGCTACCTTCCGCTGCGTCTGCTTGGCCAGTCCATGCCCGCTGCTTTCGAGCTCCTGGGTCAGATTTACATCGGGCACGTCCCTGTACAGGAGGAAAGTCAAAAAAGAGTCAACACATCGGATTGGGACCATTTTTCGATTATTTTTCTGGCAATGTTCGAACTGTTGTTAATAATTTGTTATTTTTCCTGCCAAATCCGCCTGAAGGAGGAAATGCCCGACCTAAGGTCAGATTCGTTGGGAGACGCGCGCCGAGATCGTGGAGAGGGGCCACGACGCGCGTCGCTCTCGAGCTGCTGTCAACACTGCTCTGGTGGCTGAGGAGCTGCTGCCGCAGCCCAGTGCACCTAGATAGCCATTGGAGGCCACACCCACAGAAATGTCGCTGGTGGGTGGGGCCCCAGGAAGCTGGCCTCCCAGGGGCCTCGAGCCAGAGGTCATGGGCGTGTTTTCCACCACCACCACCACCATGAGTTGGAGGGGGGGGTCCTCCTCCACCTCCTCCTCCGCCTCTTCGTCCTCCTCCTCGCCCTCCTCCTTCCCCCTCCAACTTATGGTGGTGGTGGTGGTGCAACATGGGCCTATCAAGAGGGCCGGCAGCGGGAGAAGCTGCGCGCACGAGCAACACCTGTGGGGAAGCGTTGGCCGTGAACCGCTGCTGGTGTATCTTCCGTTCACGTCGGTGGTGCCTTGCGCCCCTGCAGGTGTGTGCAGCTTCGGTGCACGGTGTGGGGCAGCGTGCCCTGCTCAGCCTTTTCCTGCATCGTGTCGTCCTCCGTACACCGATCCCCCATCATCAATCCTCTTCATCCAAACGTTCGCCCTCTTTTCTTATCTTGGTGATGTTGGACAGCACCAGCACCAGCATCATTGTCATTTCGCGTCCGTAGCCCCTCATATCTCTCCTCTTCATCATCCTGAATCGAGTCCACCGATTCCTCATCTCAGTCCTCTTGACCCCCTTGCGTTTTCTGTCCCTGCTCTGTTTGCACTCAGTACTTTACTTGTACCACGTTTTCTCCACACACACACACATAATATGTGTATGTATATATATATGTGTATATCTATGTATATATTTGTACACGCGTAAATCCTGGCCCTCGAACCTTCGCGCACCAGGGGGGGAACTTTGTGAGCATGCTAATGATGCTAATGCTGATGCTGATGCTGATGCAGTGGATGTTGCTTCTGAAACTGATATTGCTGATAGTGGTGAGGATGCTGATGATTCAGATGATGATGCTGATGATGATGCTGATGATGACGCTGGTGATGGTGATGTGACGATGCTGATGCTGTTGGTGATGATGATGACGCAGATGTTGATGCTGATGCTGCTCCTGCTGATGATGATACGTATGATGATTATGATGATGCTGATTAGGGTGATGAGGATGACTATTACGATGATGACTATGATGATGTTGTTGCTGATGCTGATCATGCTGATGATGATGCTGACGATGCCGATATGGGTGTTTGTGTTGACGGTGAGGATGGTGGTGGTGATGATGGTAACGGTGATAGGGATTATGTTGATGTTGATGATGCTGATTTTGATGATGTTGATGTTGACGCTGATGCTGATGCTGGTGATGCTGCTGCTGTCGATGATGCTGCGGATGATGATGATGATGATGATGATGATGGTGATGGTGATGATGATGATGCTGATGTTGATGCTGATGCTGCTGATGATGATGATGCTGATGATGATGATGATGATGATGATGATGATGTCGATTATGATGAGGCTGATGCTGATGCTGGTGCGCTGATGATGATGATGCTGATGATGGTGATGATGATGATGATGATGATGATGATGATGATGCTGATGCTGATGCTGATGCTGATGTTGATGCTGATGATCATGATGATCATCATGAACATGATTATGATGATGTTGGTGATGAGGCTGGTGATGCTGATGATGATGAGAAGGAGGGGGCAGGAGGAGGAGGATTGAGGAGGAGGAGGAGGAGGAGGAGGAGCTGGAT